TGCAAAAGACCCCAAAAGTTCTGGAAAGCTCCTTTTCATTCATGAAAAAAATCAAACAATTTCACATTGTAAACCAATTTGTAAGATCCAGAAGTATGTTATGCTTTTTACTAACAGAGAAGAAAGCTAAAGGTAGTAAATAAATTATATATAATAAATAATCTATCGTTAAAACCCTTTCATCAATTTTATTGATTACTCCTGTGGAACTGTGGACGTCACTAAAAGGGAGCTCTAGAAAGTGGACTTGGAAGCTGCTGTGACTTGCAGACTACTGTGGTGGATATTTTAATTTTTTTTTCTTTCACATTATACAATGGGATATAAAATATGACAAGGACTGCTTCCAGAAGAAAAATACAGAAGAAATTAAGTACAATAAATCATCAAACCACAATCGTTAAGTTTTATACAGTATTTTAGCATCCTGGTTGACAATATTTTACTTGTCCTTAGCTACCGTTAGTAAATTTAAATTTTTTAATAAAAAATGTATTTTTCTTCCTAAATACGTAAACTGGAATATTTTGATCTTATTTCAATTAATATATTCAGTTTTTCAGATGAAATTACTTGTATTAAAAAAATTTAAAAGACTACACATTGAAGCAAGCATATTAAACACATGAAAACATAAGCAATGTTGAACAACTCTGTATGAAAAATTTTTACAGATTAGTAAAATTACTGATAAAAGTTGTTATTACCAGTGAAAAAAAGGAGAGGTGAATTTTGTTTAATTACCTATTATGAATTATAAAATTAGGCATCAAAAATTAGACAATAAAACACAAAAGGGAGAATCAGAAATTGGAGAGAGTATTTTTGGGAGAGAGTAGGGAGGAAGGATGTAAGACACAAAAGAAGGGGATAATACAGCACATTTATATCTGGAATTTTGTCCTAAAAATACCTTTAAGTAAGTAGACTCTCTTTGGTTTCAAGTCACTTTTCAAAAGCTTATTGGCCTGTGTCAGTGTTTACCAGGGTTTCCTCAAAAACCTGAAGAATCACAGGTAGCAGCAAAAATAAACATATTAGTGGGAATTCATCCCAAATAGCATTCAGTGCTTTAAAACTATTTCTTCTCCATGGGGCCAGTCCGAGGCATTTTGTTCACTGAATGGTCCTTCTTTTCAGCTGTTGGACCTAATTACAAGGACATTTTGGCAACAGGCTTAAGCAGCATGACTGTATTACTAGCTCTTTAATATGATGTCTAGTTTGATGATCTTAGTGTTACTTACTCTGCATTGTGCACAAGGTTATGACTGAAAGTAGGATCCATAATACTGACATTAGAGGTGGCTAAAGTAGAATATTTAATACTACAGCATTCTGGGATTAGAGGTGTCTCACGCCTTACGTATTTTTAAGGCTGAATATTGGATTGCTGTCTAGAGTCAGAAAACATCAAATGAATTAAAAGCTTAGAAACAAAAAGGAGACAAATAAGGCAAAGGAAGTAGATTAAAAAAATAAGGATGAGTCAGTGGGAGGGGAAGGAAGAGAAGTGGTGTTACTAGGATTGTTTGCCTCCTTGAAATCTGAGAAATAGGAAAAAAGGGAACTACTTCTAGTCTTCTTCACTATCTAATGATACATGGAGTGACCTGCTAGAAAAGGAGAAGCATTCGTAACCTCATCAAAGGCAGAAATTTTAATCTACAGGTTTTACTCTGTCTAATTTCCTATAAAAACCAGAGTACTATATATATATATTTTATAAACGTATTTCTATTATTGCAATTTATAAACAAGGAAGCCAAAATTAGTGAACTATTTCTGTTCACTATTAGTGAACTATAATATTGACCTGTTTTGAAACTTTTGGACTATCTGGGAAATGGAAGTCACTAATGCATCACCTTTTTGGCTTTCACTTCTCAGGAACTTCAGTGAGCTAGTTTTGAGCAATCCCATATTTACTTGAAATAAAATAGCACGGAAACAAAATCCATCCATGTTCTGATTTTAGTTACAGGTATTCACAAAATGCTGCACTTAAAAAAAAGGAAAAAATTCAGGGTTTGAGGAAAGACTGAGTTTATCACATCAGTATTGCCTTTGGAGAAGAATTAGCACTATGTCCTGGCTGAGGAGGACCAGCCACATTCCAGTTTAATGACTGGCCTAGAGCCAAGGTAGGGAGTAACACAGAGAAGTTAGTCTTACAGAAAAAACGGGGGATCTGAGTTCAGGCAACTGGAATTACAAAAATGATAGCAGAAACTCAGTGTTAATGGGAATTGGGTAGCTGGTGACCTGTACTACTTTAAGGTGATAAAATAAGTACAGTTGAAGTAAAGAGAAGAAAGCCGTAAGGCAGGTTTTGATACATTTAAGTCAGGCATTTGAATTAGCCTGGCCGTTAGTGTTCAGTGCTGAGCAAAATCAAGTAGCAGGGAAGGATCACCTGGTGCAGGGCAGAGTGTTCCAGAAGGCTTTTGTACACCTTGGAATCTTATTAAAGTCATGTTTATGGCAATTATAAGGATGGCTGGAAGACATGCTGGGTACCAAACAGAGCACAAAAGACATAACCATTAGAAAAGAATGTAGTACAGTGATATTCAGCATAGTATCTTAGTTCCATATTAATAACTCTGCTGGGAGATATTTCTTGACTGCCTGACAGCACGTTGAATAAATCTGAGATTTAGTATTGCTTAGGGCAGGTGACAAAGGGTCATATGTCAGACGTGTTTTGGGAGATCTAGCCCTAAATTTGCACATAATGCACCTCATTCTGTAAAGTAGTGAAAGATGAACACAAACATAATATTTGTTTTGTCAAGGGCCTTAAGTAAAAACACGACAACAATTCTGCTAAAGGCATGCAATCCCACAAGAAAGCTCCCTAGCAAACAATGCAGTCCCCTGTGGTAGGAGATGTGCAAAACCATCAGGACATTTAGGGAAACCAATGAAAATATTTAACTTGCATTTAGCAAGGGAAGGCTGGAATGATTTGTCTCTCTCCAGTGAGATCTCTGCCTCCTTGAGAGGGCTAAGTATCCCTGTTTGAAATTATGTATGCTCAAAGTAAATTGCAATTAAACTGTAAAAAAGTACCCAGCCACAACACAGAACTAGACAAAAATTCAGATCAGAGCCATTTCTTGAATATTTGGGGATGTGCCGAGCAACAGCTTTCCTTTGCAGAAGAGAGTTACTGAGAGAGGAGGAAGATGAGTGTCCCTGTAAGTCTGCAGGGAGGTGAGCACTAGTGAATGGATCTAGCACCTTCATGAGCTCTGCTTGTGACAGAGAAGCAGGACAGCTAGTGGCCCAGAGCCTCAAAGACAGGGAAGGCATTAATATACCTTTGTGGTGGTGCTATGATCCCCCGTTGGGGCCAGAGTAGACCTAGCCAGACTGCCTCTCTCCCAAGATAGGGCTGTGGCTGAACCTGATGACAGTGAGGGAGGAAGTCTGTGCCAAGGCAGGAGCTGGGACTGGGACTGTTGGGTCCCTGACTTGCCATCTACATTGGGATGTGGGAGCTGCACCTCTGCTGTGGGCACAGAGGATTTCCTCCTGCAAGAGACACCGAAAACTAAAGGCAGAAAACTGGTGTTTACATCCTCCCTCCTGATGGAGGATGGGATATGGAAAGGGTTTGTGGCACTCATGGGGACAACAGGGGCCATCAAGCAGGACAGGAGGGGCCCTTCCAGGTGCTGTCCAGTGGATGTATAAGGAGACAGGACCCATATCCTAGAAACAGAATCATAGAACTGTTTAGGTCGGAAAAGACCTTTAAGGTCATTGAATCCAACTGTTAACCCAGCATGGTCATGTTCACCACTAAGCCATGTCCCTAAATGCCATATCCATCCATCTTTTAAATACCTCCAGGGAAGGGACTCTTCCCCTAAGACTGAACTATTTTCTTCTTCCACAATAGCAGCAGGAAGAAATATTTATGCAGTTGACTCTTCAACCCCCATAGTCCAGCTCTGCCTGAGACTAGGGTGACTGACTCACAGTACAGTTACCAGAGGAAGGGAAGGGACAGAGCTGTCAGAGACAGAAGCCTCAACGAGAGGACATGATAACCTCAGCCATCTGACTCACCCTCCGTTCATTTTTCTTGAAAAAGCTAATTTTGTTTTGCAGTGACAAGCTGGGAAACTGCAGTGTGGCTGGGCTGCAGAGCTGGTGATGCACAGAGAAGACAGACACTGCTCGGTATATTTGGTTTAAGGCTCTATTTCGTACTGTATGGAAATGTGTGATAGTTTTACTGTTTATGCTCAGGTTGATGGTCCATCTTGGAAGCTGAGCCACAATTATGACAGAACTATCTCTGCATATCTCTACTGCTGAGATCCATCTGCAAACATCTGCAAATGCCCTCCCAAGTGGGCACCCTCACTCCTAAGTGGTGCCAAAACGAGCAGCAGAGCTGGCAAGGACACCTAGCTACAAGAGACAATATGAAGCTGCTTATATCGTGCTGTTATGTTAATATCCTCAAGTGAATTTATTTCTAATGGGCCTTCATGTCTCATCCTTATAGCACTGAACAGAGGAGTTATACACTATGATTTCATTGTGTTGTTCTGCATGAGCTGAGAGGACATTGAGGCAGACAGGAAATGGAGGATTTTGTATGTATGGTTAATAAATAAGCCATACATAGAAGCTAGAAATAGAGATACCTGTTTCTGGTTTGGCTTGATTACTTTTTGCCAAAGTAAAAAACAACCTTGCAAATGCCCTTAATGTAGAAATTAATGCCTCTATAATTAGGTGAGACTGGCATTTTCTGGAGTGTATTACACAGTTTGTGTTAGTCATACATTTCAGAAGATAACAATTTGACATTCATAAACAAAAACTGTGCTTGAAAGGAACATTTCTTTAATAACCTGGATAACAAATAGACGATTCATGATGTTAGTTTAATTCTGCAAAGCCACAGTGAACATGTGTGTGTAAGCCAGCACAGGCATGGCACAGGAACAACCATAAACCCACAAATTTATTTTTGGTACCTCACCAACCAAGGAATCCCCAAAGCAGCACCCAGGCAGAGATGCAAACATTGCTGAGTTTGGTCCATGCTAAAGGTTCTCCCAGCTGGATCCCTCAGCCCTGGCTGCAAGGCAGTGTTTTGATCTCCCTTGCCCAGGCTTTCCCCAGGGCTCTTGCCCACCTGCCCGTGGCTGAGGGGCTCAGCTGTGCCCTACATGTTTGGGTTTTTTTGTTTTCTACAACCTTATGCAAAGCCCAGCAAGAAGCATCTCTAACTTTAAAAAAACCCCAATCTTTACACAATCAGCACATGATCTGACTGCACTTCATTTCTATATGTAATGTATGGCTGTTCATAATTTATGAAGTATTAAGGACACTGGGTCCAAGGCTAGGCATGTCCTTGTGACAGATGTGTCACAAAAACACAATGAAGGTGGGTCCATGGTCATGGAATTTATTCTCCTGGAAGAAATATTTTAGAATGATTATATATTTACAATCTATAATACAGTAATTTATATCAACAGCAGAAGCAATAAAAAACTGTAAAAGTGCACAAAATCATGGTAGAGCAAAGAGTAATGTTAGCAAATGAACCTAACTATTTCAGAAGAAATTACACGCAAAATATATTCATAACAAATAACAATATTCTAGGTGGCATTTTTTTCTTTCCCATTTCATTTTCATTCCCAAATAAATCCTGTGGGGTTTTTATCTCTGAAAGTGGCAGTTTTCTCTATAACTATATTGATTTCTAAATTAAACATTTCTAAAACTGTTATTTTCCAAATAGCAATACGGAAATGAGCAAAAAACTGGTACAGAAGATTTTGCTGCTGACTTCAATGAAGCTAAATCTTTGTTTCTGAAGAAACTATCAATTCAATTCCTTACAGGATTCCAAAGATAAAAGCATGCACATGTAAACATACTTTTTATCCTCAAAATTATGTAAAAGTGAAAATATCAAGCCAATGTCTGTACATTAAGGACATTATATGAGTCACCAATGAAATACTAAGGCAAAATAAGACAATATTAATGAAAGAGAGTATAAATATAAATGATATTCTGTGGCTAGGGCAGAAGTCATAAGCTGCTCTATAGAAATGAGAGGTTCATCTCAAGCACAAAAATTACGAGAGATCACTATGTAAACCTACAGTCTTAAGGGCATTATTCAGATAATTTTTTAAAAGATATAATGCAACTAAGGAAAAAATTCTTTTACTCACCAAAGTCAATTAAAAAAAAAGTTTAATTACACAAAAGATATCTATTTATTTTAAAAAATTATATATTTTATGGTTTTTTTACAGACACAAAGAAATCAGAAAGAAGTGTCATTTTATAGACAAAAAGTCATTTCTCTTGCACCAATTTTAAGAAGAAAGACAATAAAAATAATAATCACAGAACTAATCTAAACAAAGTCAAACAGGTAACAAACAGTTCAGATGTAGCTGACTTAGAGAAAGTAATGCAACTCAAAACTAGCTCTGGGTCAGCTTGGGCTCTAGTGCCATCTGGTGAAATAACAGTAGTTTTCCCCTTGCAACCACAGCTAATATGAAATTTAAATTAATCCACTGCATTAGACAGCAATACATGAAGCAAGGTCACAAAGAAGATGAAGTGCTTGAGTAGTCTAAGTGCACATTCAGAGAGCCATACACCGAACCGAGTAATTTGAGAACCTTCTCTTGAATCATGTCAACCTGCTCCGAAGGGCAATAGTCATCCAAACTTGATCTGTAACAAGGAATTGAAAAAGGCATGAGAGAATACAGATATCACAAGCATGACCACATTGTGTATTCTTGTAAGGCTGTGTGGCTAGGCTGAAGCTACTTTCAAACTTTGGCAAGTTCTGCCTCCCAGTATCCGTTCAAAGTGTAGTGCTGTGGACCTCCTCACTACCTTTTAAGCTGAATAGAAAGTCTGCAGCAGATCAGGAATGTGACCTAATCTTCTTTCTAATTTTACTCTCTTCCTGAATCTGACACAGAACATGTTGGCAGACAAAGTTCAAGCAAAAGATCTAATTAAAGGACCCATGTTAAGTTAAAACTGAAAAATTCAAACGCTACTAGTAAAGTAGGTAGAAAAACTTGAAAAACATCTTCACAATCCCTCGGATATAACATTTTTTACAGTACCTATTAATGAACTGCAAACCAATACTAGCAGAGCTGACTCTTCTTGAATTTTTATCTGTCAAGATTTAGAGAGATGATTCTGTTTTCTCTGCAACACTGGATGACAATCCTGCAGCTGGCACAGGGAATATAGTTTTCTTTTATTGTAGGGATTAGCCATACTATTTCTTATTGACAAAGCCAGTTTCATGTCAGCTTCTGCTATTGTTGCCTGCCCTTCTAAGGACATGCTTGGTATTTCTGAATTATTAAATTGCAACAATTTGAAAACAGATAACACTGTGGCCTCCAAATTAGGTTTGGTGATCCCTGGTTCTCCCAGGTCCCTGGCCTCAAGTTCCATCCTTTTCTCCTAAATAATACTCTTACAGTCCTGGAAACATAAGTTTTACTCCATAACAAAGCTTTACTAGAGCCTTAAAGAATATAGACTGCTTTCAGTCTATTAGACGAAAACCAGTTCCAGCAGAAGCTTCACTGAAAACAGAAATCCTATCTATAGTACAATACCCTAGAGCAAGAGAAGAAGGAACATGGAATGTCAGTCCAGGCAGGCTTGTCCTAGCTTTGCTCTAATTAGCACAAGCAATGGAAGTAGTGAAGATGCATGAACTCCAGTGACAGCTATCAATCCCAACATACACAAAGCCTCATTACAGACTTTATATAACTTATGCTGAAGTGGATTAAGTCATTATGTTTTCACAGCTTTTGAAATCTGTGCCAGCTACTTTAAAGCCCAGTAAAACTGGCCATCAGTGCAGAGTCTTCCCTTATCTGTGTAGATTCTGTCACTGCTTTATGATCAATATTTCCAAATGTCAATGTTTACTATACTATAAGGCTTCCACTTTAAGACGGGACTTAAGATGCACCAACCAGTGCTATACTGATAAAATCATTTATCTTCATGAGTACAGTCAGAGCTTTTTAAACTAAAAGTGTCCACATAGTCTTACCGAGCAACAGTCACAAGCGTGGGCTTGGGCATATCTTTTAGCAGAACTTTAATGGATTGTATGAGGCCTTCGATCTCGTCTTCAGTGCTAACATGGTGAGGAAGCTCCATATAATCACAGGTCAAACCAGCCTGATGTACCTACAGGTAAATTAAACAGAGATTTAATTTCTGTTGATGAATTATTGATACAGCTTACCTGTGTAGAAGGTCTCTAGCATACCATCCCTAGCCCAGGAGATAACTTATACCTCTTTAGACAGTAAGAGTTGTGGGTTTTTCTGCCCCAGCTTGTTCTTTAAACTAAACAAATAAAAATCTGGAGGTTGTATGGATTGTTTCATTATCTCCAGTACACTGTACCTTTTCTATAAATTCAGAGTGTGCTGCAGTCCTTGAAGATGATAGTTCTGATGCTTTATAAATAGGTATCTTATCTTAAATTCTATAAAGAAGATCAACAGACCCTGGTGAAATGAACCTCCCTTCATAGAATGTGGCTCAAGATATCACAGTCCTGAAAGATCACGCTAATGTTGCCTAAATATAGACAAGCAGAGAAGAATTTTAGCAGCTTTAAAAAGAAAAGCTGGCGTAAGTAATGAGACAAAAAAACCTAGGAAAAGTAACAAACTCTCACAGAGTCCTGAATCAAGAAGCAAATCTGAAAGGAAGTATGAATTTTCCCTGTCTGTTGAAGCTATGCTTTTGAAATTCATCTACTTTCTGCTCTTTTACCTTGCCACTTACCATTTCATAGTCTGGGCTTTCCATCCTGGTTTTCAAACTGTGAACTAGTTGAACAAGTGGCTTCATTCTGGAGTTAAAACAAAACAAAACAAAACAAATAAAAAAAAAAAATGAGAGAAAAAAAAGAGGAAAGTAGAAGTTATTATGGCCTAGGATATGAAAATGAAATTTGCCTCTTTTTGTCATCTTGCACCTGAAAAAATGTAAATTATCAGTACTATTGTACTGTTTCACCAGGTCTTTCTTATAAAGCCCTTATACTCATAGCTGCCTCTAGCAAGTCCTCTTTGTGCTTGTTTTAGGGCAGACCTGCAAAGGTCAAGTAGTATCAACTTTTACAGGAAATATTTGTTGTCACTATTACAGACGTCTGACAGTAATTGCGGCATTTGATGTGGAAAATAAATGATTTTCCCATCAAGGAAAAGCTCAGATTTTCAGTGTCTCTTTCCAGCTGAAAACATTTACTTTAAAAGGACAGTGGGCGACGGGGCTGGGGCAGTTCAGATGTTTAGCGGAGACTGTTGCTCAGATACAATTTTTCACCCATTTCCATTTTTCCACAGAAAGCTGACCCTTGGGGAGCACCAAAGAATTGCTTCTCCATGTCCTCCTTGGTTTGTTGTTTTTTTGAGAACACTGATACACACTGATGACTAAGTTTTTAGTCAACAAAATACCTCCATCCGTAGGCAACAGAGTTTGCACGAAGCTGGAGAAGACTGAGCTTCAAAGGCTTACAGTGGTGCTGAAGACAGCAGACTGACTTTCCTTTTATTTTGTCTGACTCTTTCTCCTCTAGAACTAAAGGAAAAACAGTATCCTTGCATAGATCCTATCTTTCTCTGTTATCAAAGTGCTGGGCTATATCAGTTCCAAAACTTCTGTTTGCATTTTAAGACATTTAGAATTCTTGTACCCAGGATATGAAGCCCATTTCTGGAGGGTTTCTTCATCATCACTGTCACACAAATCTGCAAATGCCGCTTCCAGATCTTCCAGCTGATGAACACGGTTTTCAACACAATCCAGCAAGCCTTCCTTTAGGTAAGCATATATAACAGTATGTTAGTAAAAAATGAAGTAAGAATATCATGGCTTACCTTATGATTTAAACTCTGTAATTACTGATCTACTGCAAGTGGGGAATCTGAAACAACTGATTCATTACTATGGCACATCAATTCAAGAAGATCACAGTGAATGCCTGTAGAAGCTGTTATACCTTCAGAATAAATCATCTCACTTTGCTCTGTCTTTCCGACAACAATCCTAAAAAAGCCACCTTCTAAATATGTACCTGTTTTTATTGCTGATTTACTAAGAGATATGAAAATCAGTTTGCCAATATTCCACATATCTCTATTTCTTTATATATATATTAATTAGGTTTTATTAATTTGTGCTAATTATATGTGTTGAATCTCTCTAACAGTGTCCAGATGAGATTATGAAAGCTTACATTTCCTATCAGAAGCAGAGAGCACATAAAATGAAAAAATACATTACAGCGGCATAATGCCATCACAACTCTGGCTATCAAGCAAGAGCAACTAGGGCAAAGAAGAGGAGAGCCTGGAGGGGTAAAAAAAAAAAAGAAGAAACCTCACCAATCCAAAGTCCTGTCGAGCCACAAAAAGAACAACATTGCAGATGACTTACAATGTTTTCATTCCTTCCTTGTCAATTACCATTTGTTTACAGAAATTAATTTTCACGCTCATGCTAAATATTTATGCAATTCACTCATTTAATCAAAACATTTAATAGGAAGGAATTTCTAAGATTCTGCTGATTAGCATTCAGTGTGCCACGTAGCTTAATTTGAGACCACTTCATTAAGCACCTTTGATAGGTTCCTTCCTGTTGGCGTAACTCATTTTTGTTGGGTAAATAAAAAGAATCATTCCCTCTACATCCCACAAGGAAATATCATACCTCTGTTGCATTTTTGTGTGGTTTCTTGAAATTGTACAACTCTTGCAAGAGCCCATATTCTGTCTTAGACAAAGAAAGAGGAAAAAAATTAGACTCTTCAAATGAGAAACCAAATCTTCAAAGCTTTCCTTCTTCAAAAAAATAATGTGATTACCAAGATCATTCCCCTACTCTAGTACTGCAGACAATAATGAGCATAACAGCCTCTCATCAGGACAAGCTACCACTCTTTGGACAATCAACACCACTATGCCTTTTGAAAGGCAGTCTCTTGATACCACTGTGGTTTTCTAATAGCATGTTATGAAGGGTAAAAAATGACACAATCTGCCATTCTATGATTCCTCCTTGATGACTCTTGCTGTGGGTATTTGGAAGGTTACCTGTGGAAACCCAAGCATAGCTTTTATGTCCCAAGCAACAAGCACAAGTGAGCCATATACCTCTGAGCTTGAATGTACACTCCACACCATTATCAAATGTAAGAATCTCCCCCTATTTGGTGGTTGTAAATTTTTGTCACGTACACTCCACTAGAATGTCTCTCTTTAAAATACGACCATGAATCATTAACCGTGATCAGCTAATCTGCTGATTGAGCTTAGGTGAAAGTTTCTCCATAGACATAAATACTAAGACTATGACTCTTGTGAATGGTATGAGGCCATTCAATTGTTATGCTTACCTGTGTGTACATTTCTTTGAATGGATTTTTAACTGAAAAAAAATCTAAGTCAATGTCCAAAACATATGCATCCCCTTTCTGCAGCACTTGGCAGATATCTTTAACAACTTCCTTTATTAGGCATTCACTGTTTTTGAGACAGCTTGAAGTTGAGCACTCTGGTGAGGCTCCTGCCCTATTCAGGGCACTTGCATTCGGTACTTCCTTTTTCTTCACACTTGGGGTGCTGTTATCAAGGTCACCAAGACCCACTGATGAAGAGGCAGAAGTGGTGCTTGCTGTGTCATCTGTATTTAGCTTCAGTCTTTTAGCAGATGCTACTTCACCATTTTCTTCATGGCCATTCGATGATTCAATAGGGTTGATGAGAATGACGTGTAAATTTAAGGACTTCTGGTTTTCTAGCTGATCAGCAGGAACATAAAGACCATCGCTTAAAAAGTAATGATCTGTGCCTGTAACCCTACAATTGACAGTAACTCACAGTTAATGTACATCTTGGCAAAGAGCTTAGGAAAAAGTATTTTATACTTTAAAGATTCAGAGAAGAATAAACAGACTTTTGATGGGTAATGAAAGCAATAAAACTGTGTAGACAAAATTTCAATCCTCAGATTTTTAAATTAAATTTTTTTCCACTTCTTTATTGTGAAATAAATATATATAAATTCATCCTACACTTTTTATGATAGTCCTACAAGGTTTTAATGGATAAGAAAAAATGCTACTATGATTAATTTGCCATTGAATTGCATTTTAAAGACAACATCCAGAATTGAACAAGATATTGTCAATACTGTGGCATATAAGATTGCAAAGCTATAGATATTTTGTCTTTTCTAATTTTCCAGGAAAATTATGTTAGTTGGGCTTGAGAAATGCCCTGAAATGCATAAATATTGATTTAGTAAAAGTAAAATATTATCAATTAATAGGCAGAATTTAACTTCTTTTACCACTGACATAGATTCCCTGCTCTAAGTGAGAGAGATGGTAACTAGAGGATAAATAGCTAGGTATCAGTTGAATCCACTTATATAAAAAAACCCAAAACAACTAATTCAACAAAAGCGACAGTACGAAAACCTCTGCTTATATAAAGAATGGAATTTTTAAGCCATATTTCAGTACATTAAGCCTTAAGCATCATAAACTCAGACTAAAGATAAGCTTAAGTGTGAACTTCTGCTCATGTCTGTTAAAGCCTCATTTGATTACAGGGTATCACTATCAATCAGCCACAAAGACAAATAATTTCATAAGCAGGAGACATTTGAAGCTCAGTTCCCCAGTGTCTTGTGGATGGATTAGCCTGAGCTTGCCAAAATGAGAGGCTGGATCACAACTTCATCTTGTTGACAGGGCATTCCCAGGACCTCTTCTCAGAAATTCTGCGGGGTTCAACACGAGTTCATACTACAGCCTTTTCCTTAGTGGACACTAACTAAGGTATCTATTGCCTATCCATCTGTTGTCAACAAAACTTTTTAAGCAAGTTTGTATTTCTGAGGACTCTTTCCCTTTTTTCCTTCATGGATTTGGTAAGCCTAGAATCTGAAGTGAAGGTACCTGACAGTGTTCAAAAAGAAGCCTGAAATGTTGTTTTTGTGACAGCTAAGGCCACCAGTGAGAGAGCTATTCAGCCATTATGAAGTATTTCTATACCTTGGTTAAATGATTAAATGCAATTGAAACTACTAGCTGCTTTCTAATTATTATCATCATTATCATAGTTATCATTTATTATTATTATTTAGGTTAACTGTAGGCTTCAGATTCAGAATTGTAGAGCTTTAGCATTTTATTTAAGGTGGTAAAACAAGGCATTTCTTTGCTGTCTTCAGTTAAACTTGCTTCAGAAGATTTACTTCAATATGCTGATAAGAGACGTGATTTGTAAATGCCCATTAAAACTGTACCAAATCACAACGCAGTGAATATAGTGAATGCAAAATTATCATGGACTGCATCCTGCAGAATGATGAGGGGCTCTGATCAGAACTTGAATCACAGAATGATTAAGATTGGAAGAGACATCTGGAAGTCCCTAGTCAATCATCTGATCAAAGCAGAACTAACTTCCAGGTAGATGAGGTTGCCCAGATCAATCATCCTTTATCAAAGGATGGAGAATTCACCACCTGAGTACCTGTTTCAGTGTTTAAGTAGTGGACTAACTTAAAAAAAAAACAAAAAAACAAAACAAGCAAAAAAACCACTCCCACACCAATAAAACAGAATCATGGCTGACACCAAATAAAAATTTTACTAGGCAGACCAAAGAGTAAATAGATATAAGTTGAACTGCATTAGGCATTTCCTAAGGAAATTACAAATTACAAATTAAATTTTCATCTTTATCCAAGAACACAAAAAAATGCCAGTGAAAAGCTACAGAGACAACTTTTATATTGCTAGCATTATGACAGCAGACAATTTACCTGATTGTCGTCGTTGATACATCTTTCCCAACAAGAAAACTGTGTTTTCCTTCTGAGATCTGATGAGCCCAGGGTGGGTGAAGCCATACTACTTGAGAAATATGGCCAGCATAAACAGCAGGCATAATCCAGTTCTCAATACTTAATTCACTGTAATCAATAGAGAAAGACAGGAGGTAACAATATTACTTTCCTTATAAATAAAACATGGTCAAGAACCCCACAACCATCTTCCACATCTTTAAAACCTCCAGGCAAATCATCTAAACTTAGTACTCTGTGTAAGGGTAACATCATCAAAGAAAGAAAAAGAGGGAAATCTATAATGTCTGTAGTAGATTTAAAAAAGTTCAGACATAGAGTGCAATAAGCTTCACTCTTAGTACGGTGCTTTGATGATAAACTACTTAGTGGCGGACATGGCAGTGTTAGGTTTCTGGTTGGACTTGATAACCATAGAGGCCTTTTCCAACCTTAACAATTCTGTGATTCTACTTCCTTTTTCTCTTGATACATCAGACAGAGGAAAGTGCAAGCAAGGACACAAGATCGTTCTAAATAACTTCAAACTGACCTCATGAGAGTGTTTTATTGTAAACTGTTCTAGGTAGATTTTAAATATCATCCCAGTAATTAAAGTGAGTCACTCCACAACTGCAAGATTAGCATCTTTCCTCATTATCAAGACCCTATTTAATTACGTGTATGATGCCAACTGTATCCTGGGTCACATGAAAAGAAGCAGGTTGAGGGAGGGGATTATGCCCCTCCACTCCACTCTTGTGAGACCCCACCCAGAATACCGCATGCAGCTCTGGGGCCCTCAACATAAGAAGGGCATGGTCCTGTTGAACCAGGTCCAGAGGAGGCCATGAAGATGATCAGAGGGCTAGAATACCTCTCCTGTGAGGACAAGCTGAGGGAATTGGGGTTGTTCAGCCTGGAGACTGCAGGGAGACCTATAGAACCATCCAGTACCTAAAAGGGAAGAAAGCTGGAGAGGGACTTTTTACAAGGGCATGCAGTGATAAGACAAGGGGGAAGGCTTTAAACTGAAAGAGGGTGGGTTTAGATTAGATATTAGGAAGAAATTCTTCATTGTGAGGGTGGTGAAGCATTGGAACAGGTTCTCCAGAGGAGTTGTGATTGACCCATGCTTGGCAGTGTTCAAAGCCAGGTTGCATGGGGCTTTGAGCAACCTGGTCTAATGGAAGATGTCTCTGCCAATGTCAGGGGATTTGGAACTAGATGATCTTTAAGGTCCTTTCCAACCCAAATCATTCAAAGATTCTAAGATAGAGTCCACAAAACTTATTAGTCAAAAAAAGAGAATAAAATATTCACTATGCGTAGGACGATCCAAGTATTTACACAATTGCATTAGCTTGTAATTGCTGTAAATCACCATAATACTGAAGCAATCGATATTTATTTTAAAACAAGAAGAGAAAGACAATAGCAGACATCACCCTGTGGTTTATTCCCTACCTACCTCAGATGGTGGTAGAAAATATTGGTCTTTATGATTCTAATATGAAAATCTTATTCAATTTCACATATTCACCATGCCAACAAATGACATGCTATTTCAATCTCAAAGTCAATTTTCCAGTGTGAAGAAAGAAAGACTGATTTAAAACTACAGCTCTTCAGACAAAGCATCAACTTAGAGTGTTTTCCTGTTACCCAGAGGAACTACTGGGGCTAATATCGTAATATACTACTGAACAACTAAACAAAGCAAATTCATACATCCTAAATTGCTTGATGTACCACATAAACATTTGGCCACATTCATAAAACACAAACGTAACTTTTTCCATTAAAAAAATAAAGTTTCAGCAAAAGTGAAAAGATGGAAGATACAACCTGAACCTGAATTATACCTCTTTTGTTCATGTTTCCTACTCAGTTGTACCAATATTCACTGTGAATCAAAGGCAGCAAGAAGTAGACTTAAAGTACTCTGAGGCAGTACCCAGGACTTACCTAAAAAGAGTTTCTTTGTCAAATACAGTATCTGCAGGCATATTAACAGGAATAAGAAGGTCTGGATGGGAATCAAGATGAACAAAACTGATGTTACAGGCAGGAAGATGCTTTGAACCAATGGCACGATAGATGAAAGGCAGCACCTAAAGCAATATGAATAAAAACATTTTAATGATAACCAGTAGGCTGAAAAATGCGACCACTTTAACAGCAAAAACACTAGTCTCCCTCTTATTCCTTTAGAATTTAGATTAGAGGGAGGAGGAGACAGAAAACAATACAAAGGGGAAATAACTCCAGAGGCAAGACAACTCATGAACTGTAATCATTATAAGCCTAAGCATTCCACATGAGAAACTGCTAAAGAATCACAGCCTTACTCCCTTTTTCCTTCTTTATAGGAAGTCTTGTTTGCAGTAGCTTCTCATTAATGATTCAACTCAATTCCTAGGGCTTTTTTTTCATTTACAACTAAACCCCAGGACTGCCTTTCCTCTTCTGCAGAACATTGCCCCTGTATTTCCTTCCCCATACATTCCTCACCATGCATGGGTGCTGTGGAGCACAAAAGCATTTTTTTACTCGAGGTTTATAAGTTAACTGATATAGAATGAAAACTGACCCCACCACGATTTAGACTCTAGCTGGTCATTAAACCTATTCCTCTTGAAAAATTAATTCCTAATGACTTAGTGGCTGCAATAAACATACAACCTTTCTCAACTCTCCAAACTTATCCCCCGCTGAAGGTCTTCACTCAAAGGTGCGAAAAACAGAAGATGAGGCAACTCACCAATTTATAGCATAGAAAACCACTGAAGTGCAATAATACAGGGTGGTAAAAATGAGAAAACTGATGGCTGATTCGTGATACCTCTTACACTGAACTGCAGTACATGGAGTCTTTCTCACAGTTAGGGGACATCAACTGCCTTGGCTGCCAGAGCAAATCCAACAGGGATTGTGAATCACAGCCCTATCATACAGGGAATGTGAAGACTGTAAAGAAGCAACAAAAATTACATGTGACGTCTACATTATAACTGCACCTGAGCTACTTTTCTTGGCACAAAACTGATTAAGATGACAGATCTGGCATACTGCATGGGCATAACCATAAAACATAAGTACATTATTGCAACAGTAGATAAAACTAGGGTAAAAATAACAAGGGTTCCCTGATCCATGACTTCTACTTCTTTGGAAAAAAGAAATAATCTGGCCTACCTGAAAAACCTACAATCTTTGCAATTAAAATTGAAGCTTCACTCAGGTAAGGGTAACTACAGGTTGCAAGAGACACTACAGACTGAGGTCTCTAACCTTGCAATTAAGAACAAAATTTCCTTTATGCCAGCTGTTATTATTAATCAGTGCATGATGCATTTACTGACAACTTGTCCTAGAGGAACATCACTGTCAGCAAAGGATTATTAAAATTTTCTGTGAAGTTCTTACACTTGGAATAAAAAGCCATTTGCATTTTGTGCATCTACATTCACATCCTGAAAATGCAGTGTATACATTTAGTATGAAAAGACTTTAAGTTACTTGAAAACATAAGTATAGAGACTAAAATAAAGAAGAAGGATCATTAACTGGTATTCTCAGTATTACTATCACAGTGACACTCTAAGTCCTTGGTTACCATGTAAAATCAGCTATCACAGTATCATATTTCACAGTATCATATATTTCAGCGAGTCTTAGCAAAAATGAACTGCATTAAACTATTTACTTACAATTTCATTATTTTCTGTAATGGACTTTACTACACTAAAACTTTCTGTTTGCAAAGAATCTAGTAAATAATCTGTTATTTAGGATGAAGGCCTCAACTTATGCTACTATAAAAAAAAAGCAAAACATGAGAAATCAGAAACAGCAGTTTAAAAGCAATTCCTTCTTCATGCCCTTTTTCAATGACTTAACCAAGAAAGCAAAGCTCCACATTTAACATTTCTCATCAACTGGCTGTCAATCTGCTTGTTGGAATGTGATTATACCTGCTGTCAGACACTAGGTTGGGTTGAGTTTCCAAGTACTGCTCTAATGGTCAGCAAATTATAACAGCAGTGTAATGTAAGTATAATTTCTTTTTAACTATAGCAACTATGACCCAAAGAAGAAAAAAGACAGCAACAATTGCTTAAAAAGATGTCAAAATCCGATCATGGAAATAATTAACTTGATCGGTGAATGGGAAAGGAAAATCGGGTCTCCTGGACCCTGAACTTCATTTATGTTTCAGCAGCAGAAAGGAAGGCAGTTTTAATGTTTGTGCATGGCTATAGAGGGGAGGACTGTTCCCAGGGAAGCGCCCGGAGCGGGCAGAACCCGGATACATGGCGGGAAAGCGCATCCCCCTGGGAAGCCGTCAGCGCCAGCACAGGGGATCCACCAGCCAGACCGAGCCCCCGCGCCGCAGACAGACAAACAAACAAACAAACAAACAAACGAACGAAGCCACTCCCCATACACCACCGGAGGGACGGCCCATCCCACGGCAGCCCAGGGCCGGGCACTCACGTCCTGGTGGTCCTCCACCACCCACACCGGCAGAGCCGGGTACTCCCGCAGGCAGCCCCCGCGGGGCCGACCCCCACCGCCGGCCTCCTGCTTCCCACCGCTCATGCCGCCGCTCCCTCCCTCCCTCCCTGCAGGCTGTGCTTCCGCCCGTAGAACCTCCCATCGCTTTCCTGTTCCGGAGCCGGAGCACTGCGGGCAGGGCTGGCCCGGGCAGCGGCGGCGGTGGCGGCGGCGGGGCCAGGTGGGCTCGGCGTGCCCGGCTACCCTCGGCGGGGCGGGCGGGGGCTCCCCGGGGCCACTCCGCGCTGCTCTGGTGCCGCGGGTCTCGGCGGTCGCCGGGATGGGGAGGCGCGCAGGTTCTCAGGGGAGCGGGCGCGGCGACTCCGCGGTGCTGGCGGGGGTCGGGGTGGCGGGCAGGAGCTCTTGGTGCGGGCAGCAGGGCCTGGCCGGGTGTCGGCTCAGCACCAGGCGGTCTCCGTGCTGCCACCCCTCCGGGGGCAGTCGGGAGGCCGGGTGTCACAGAGTCACGGGATGGGTCAGGTTTGAAGGGATCACGGTGGGTCATCTGGTCCAAGCTCCCTGCTCAAGCAGGGTCGTCCTAGAGCACATGGCACAGGATTGCGTCTAGATGGTTCTTGAAAATCTCCGGTGGGGGAGGTTCCACAAGCTCTCCTGGGCAATCCGTTCCAGTGCTCGGTCACTGCACAGTAAAGAAGTTCTTCCTCGTGTTCAGGTGGAACTTCCTGTGCATCAGTTTCTGCCCATTGCTTCTTGTCCTGTTGCTTGGCACCACCGAGAAGAGCCTGGCTCCATCCTCTTGACACTCCCATTTTACATACGTAGAGACATTGATGAGGTCCCCTCTCACTCGTCTACTCAAGATATGTCTGTGCCCTGTTGCTGTCAGAGGTGTGTCGTCTGGGAGAAGCGAGTTTGTTCGGTCTTTTTTAGGGACCCAATGTTGCTTTAATGTGCAACGGCCCCCACCAGTGCAATACATTCCTCTTCTAGGTGACAGGAAAAGGGGAGTTTGTGCTTTTTGGTGTTTTTGTACTTACCTAACTTTAAATAAAAATTGGATGTGACTAGAGTTTGCAGCAGAGGGATCTTTAAAATAGTTTCTTGTATTTTTTGAATTTCTTTTTCCAGCTGTGATTCTGTGCATTCTGAAGGAGTGGTAGAATTAAGGTGGTAGAACCAGAGCAGTTCTCTGGTGTTGAGGAGATCTTAGAGCCTATTTAAGAGAACTGATAAAGAAAACCCGTTATTTGAATGCTATGACATATTAAAAAGAAACACACTTAAAGACAAGGCACTGTGGTACAGTGACCTTCACTTAGCCTGTTTAAATAAAATATGTATGTAAATGTTAGCAAAGTCTGAAACAGTTTACTGTTACAAGCGTGAGCTGTGTAAGAGCATGACAAGAGAACTAAAGCAAAATTGATTCAGTATGTAATGCAATAGAATTATTAATTATACAAGGTTGCACTATTGCTGTATGAAATAATGGAAGTTGACTTTCTTTTTTCTCCCTGGTTTTTTTTTGAGAGCCTTTACAAAGTTGGAGGGTGCTGAGCAGGTACAGGCTGACTGAGAGGAACAAGTGACTTTATACCATTGTGGCTGCTACTTCCTAGAAATGTGGGTTTCTCACTTTGGCATTTGATTGTTCTGGAGAGGGAATGAATATCACTGCCACCAATTCCAGAGACTTCCAATAAGCCCTGCATGTGTAAGGAGAGTCTTAGGGTCCTCTTGATTCCTCCTCTTTGATGTCAGTACTTTTCCTCTCTGTTTCTTTTCCTTTCTCCCTACAGTTCACCAGAAGGTGTCTGCTTTCTCTCAGCAAGAGCTACATCTTTTGCTGCAGTGGCACCGAAGTGCAGCTGAGAGTAGTGCTCTGAGCAGTCCAGGTTGGCCATGTTGCTCTATAGCAGGTGGGAGAATGTTCTGTGCATGTACTTCACCATCAAGAAAGCCTCATTAAAAGGGAGGCTCTGCTTTGTGTTTCTGGTGATCTTTCCAGTTGTCTGTGTCTTCCCTTTCTTTCTCTCACTTCCCTTTATGGAAAACAGGATTTCAGTTCTGTGGGTGCTTAGCTAATTTTTTTCCCTCTCCCTCTATTCCAGCCATAAAGTGTTTTTGTCCCCCTTTTTTCAGTTTTTGAAACTTAACATTGTAATTAAAGAATCAATTTTAACTGATGAAGCACAGTGGTTTTCATTTATAAACATTAATACAATGCCTTAAATACATGCGTAGCTTTGAGCAACACTTAAGCCTACTTGAAGCAATTGCTGAAAGGTAACAAGGCCAAGAAGGCAGCTGAGGGATTTCTTGGGAACCATTTATTTCAATGAAAATGAAGGAATTGCACAGTCTACACAAAATTGTTTTCCGTAACCTATAAGATTCACATTCAACAAAAATATACCTACCTCACTCAAGGGTCTGTTGAATTCAGTCCTTTAGTAAATTGGGGACTCAGTTGTGAATGTAAATTACTACTATCTCATTTAAAATTTACATGATTTGTTGGACCAGGTAACTTGCAATGGAGTGTTAGTCATGTCATTCTACCCAAAGTTTAGAATTGTGTTCTACAAAGAACTCCTTTTTATGCAGCTTTGGATTACAACTGGAATTATTAATAATGAGTGGTTTCTTCGGTGTGGGGTATCTGAGGTTTTTATGTCAGAGTTTCTAAGTGCTAGTAGAGGTGCTTGAATCCTTGACCAGTCATCATATCAATAGTTTTTTGAAATTAACATTGCTCTAAGTCAGAAAGCATGGTCCAGCTTTGGTAGAAAGACTCTAGAGTGCATTCATGGATTAGAGGCTTAAAGGAATCAAAGGAACATAAATGACCTGTACTAGAGGTCTGAGGAGCACAAAGCTCCCAGTGAAAGTTGGTAGACATTGTTTACTACTTCTGTTAAAGGAAACTGCAAAAACTATAGTTTCAGCATTTTAGGATTAGTTCCTGCAAATGCAGTAAGGACATCTTACAAAAATTGTGTGACACTGGACTTTTACTTTCCTTATTAAAGGTGAGCCATGTCTTTCCATTCTGGACGAGGATGTCCCCGTGGTCAGGGAGGACCAGGAGCAAGAACTTCAACGCAGACCTACCGCCCTCAGAACCTACGGCAGCTTCACCCACAGCAGCCCTCCATACAGTACCAGTATGACCAGCAAACTGCCCCTCCAACAACCTATTCAAACCCTCCAGCCACTGGTTACATGCCTCCCAGGCCAGACTTTGTGCCCTATCCTCCTCCAGTGCCCCCTTCCACACAAAATCCCATCAACCAGTGTCCCATGAGGCCACCATTTCCGAACCATCAGATGAGGCAGAGCTTCCCAGTGCCTCCATGTTTCCCTCCCGCTCCGCCACCAGTGCCAAATCCTAGCAACACTCCTGTGCCAGGAACTCCTGCTGGACAAAGCACCTTTCCTTACATGATGCCTCCTCCCACAGTACCACACCCTCCTCCCCCACCAGTCATGCCACAGCAGGTCAACTACCAGCCTGTGTACTCCACGGGATACTCCCAGCAGTCGTTCCCACCACCTAGCTTCAACAGCTATCAGCACAACTCTGCCTCCTTCCAGAGCAGCACTACCAACAGCAGTGGTGGCAGCAGCCATTTTCGGCACACGGGTCAGTACCAGGGAGAGAAGCCTCAAAGTGATCGGCGGTCTCCAGACAGGAGCAAGCACTATGATGAGCACCGACATCGCGAACACGGTCACATCCACGGGGACAGGCATCGGTCTGCTAACCATGGGGATCGTCGGGATCGAGGCCGGAGTCCGGATAGGAGGAGGCAGGAGAGCAGTCGGCACCGGACGGATTATGACAGAGGAAGGATATCGCCTCATCACAGAAGTTACGAGCGAAACAGGTAACTTGAGGTATTTTCTGCCTGCAGGGGGAGAGATGTCATTGTTGCCTCATAGTATTTGTTTGCATCAATGTTCTTCCCCCACCCTTGTTTTTCCCTCTAGCTCAGGAGGTAGCCAGTACTCAGGTCTGATGGAAAGACCTGCCTGTGTGATTATGTTCAGGGTGAAGACCTCAGCAAGCCAGCCTGTGATCTCAAGAGAGGACTGAAGTGAACATTACCATGAACCTGTTAAAGGAAGTGAGACAGTTGTAGGCTGTGTCGACATCATTCAGATGATGAGTGTGCACTGCTTATTGTGGGATTTATCATGAAGTTTCTGTCTCACAATAGATCCACAGCTGGGTGGACTAACAAGTTGTCAGCTGTTAGCAGAGTATGAAAACTGCCTGTGTGATCTTTCCTGCCTAATGTATACAATAATTTCATAGAATCATTTAGCTTGGAAAACATCCTTAGGGTCTTCAAGTCCAACCCTTTACTAATGCTGCCAACTCCACCACTTAACTGTGTTGCTAAGTGCCACATCTACATCTCTTTTAAATGCCTTCAGGGCTGGTGATACCACCACTTCCCTGGGAAGCCTGTTCCAGTGCTCAACAACCTTTTCAGTGGAGAAATTTTTCCTAATATCCAAATGAAATCTCCCCTGCTGCAACTTGAGGTTGTTTCCTTTCATTGTCACTTGTTACTTGGGAGAAGAGACTGACCCCCACCTTACTGCAACTTACTGTCAGGTAGTTGTAGAGAGCAGTAGGATCCTCCCTGAGCCTCCTTTTCTTCAGGCTAAACAACCCCACCTCTGTCAGCCACTCATCATATGACTTGTGCTCCACACCCTTCACCAGCTCTGTTGCCCTGCTCTGAACATGCTGCAGCTCCTCAATGTCTTTCTTGTAGTGAGAGACCCAAACTGGACACAGGACTCAAGATATGGCATCACCAGTGCCAAGTACAGGGGGATAGTCACTGCCCCATTCCTAATGGCCACACTGTAATACAAACCAGGATGCCATTGGCCTTCTTGGCCACCTGGGCACACTGCTGGCTCATGTTCAGCTGGCTGTGACCAACATCCTCATCTCCTGTTCCACTGGGCAGCTTTCCAACCACTCTTCCTCAAGCCTTGAGTTAATTTAAAGCTCTTTTGCCCCAAAAGTATGTTTGTGTTATCAAATACTTTATGCATATGT